AAAAAAAAAAAAAAAAAGTGTCGTGGAACTTCTTCTCTCTCTAACGCCATAACGAAAACTATGGCTTTTTCAGTTCAACTTTTGTGCTTTGCATTTGTTTGTTTGAAATTTCCATGGATACGGCGTGCAGTACGCGTGTGCCAGCACTCTTTTGTTGGACGTGCTGTCCAAACGAACGCAACATTGTTGGGCTACGCTTCGATGACCGCAAAACAAAAGAAATGTTGGGACCTGTTGGCTCAAAAGTTTGACGAGTATCAAACTTCACCCAACAACATCCACCAAGTCCCAACAACACGCAACATGGTGTTCAAGCGCTCCCAAAATGTTGGGCCCAACAACGTTGGAAGTTGTTGGCCAACAATGTTGCGCTCGTTTGCTCGGGCCTTAAGTACTAATATATAGACATAACTCATTCTTAAAAAAGTTCTACTTCATCATTGGTCATTGGTCGGTGGGAGTCACGTGAGAGAATGCGCGAAGATCAATTGCGTTGGTTTGTTGCTGTGTCTATTTATACCCCTTATAGCCTTGAAGAAGTCGACTTTGAAGAATGAAGCCTAAGTCAAGTTGCTTCAAGCATCTTGTACACAACAACGGACTGCGAAGGGAGTCAGGAAAGCGGCCAGAAAAACCAAATCGAGGACCCCTTGACTAGTTTTTTGGGCACAATTTCACAAGATTATGACACAGAAGAAAAAACTACAGACGCTGTGTCGGATAAACTGGCAATAAGTGCTTCTCGACCAAACTTGGGGACACAAAACTTAAGGACAAGCTTGAAAGATACGCCAGGCCTTCAAACTGTGACAAGCATGTCGTGCCCACAGTTAACCCTGAAATATGGGATAAACTCGACCACTTGGCCAGAAGAAGGGACCTCCGCGTTGCCAGTACCCAAAAAACACTCACGAAAGTGGGAGCTATCTTGACTACCTCAGTCAGTAAGATTATGACAGCCATTGCTGATCCCACCACACTGAAGTTGGAGGAATTGCTGACCTTAAACATTGATGCCATAGCACTCCTATGCCAAAGACGGGACTTAATCAGACCCTGTTTAAACAAAAATTATAGCACCCTGTATGCTCCCCACATCCCAATTACTGGGATGCTGTGTGGTAACGAACTGCAGTCTCAACTGAGCAGCATCAAGGCCTCAAACAAAATAAGTAACCAGGCAGCTGGAGGCGGCTAAAATCGCCACCAAGATAAATCTGGCAATAACAATAGAGGCAAAAGGCCTTTTTTTAGGCCAGATGGGGAGAAGGAATCCCCACTTCAACAGCCAGAAAAAGATTGATTAATGATTAATTTGACGACACAGGTAAATGAAAATAATTTTATGTCGCTCATAGCTGCTCTAAAAGATTATTTCACTCCAAAAGCAGACTGTTTTAAGGCCGGCAGACTGGTATCCTATTTGGGAAAATGGAAGAAAATAACTTCAGACCCTGAGATATTGTCAATGGTCAGAGTCCAACAGATTGAATTTAATTCAGTGCCCATCCAGGGAAAACCCCTAGGACAGTCTGTAAAAAATTCAGAGGTCAAAATCATAGAACTTGTCAAAATATGTAAACTTATAATCAAAGGCCCTTAGGCGAACTCGTGGATACTTGTTGCACTTTTCGAATATTTAGATTGGTCTTCCTGTGCCCTCAGCTTGTTGACATTCTCAAAGGATTCCAAATACTTCGCTCGATTTAATATTTTGAATACTCAATTTATCTAGTAAGATGAGTAATCGTTCTTTTTAGTTTCCTTTTAACACCTAGTTCTTCGCTATTTTGTKGAGTTTGAAAGCGATTTCTGTGATGAATTAATTGTCTGAACTTCGATTCAATTAATACGAAAGACGACTTCGACTACGACTTCGATAGAGTCAACTGAGTCAAGTATCGAGTATAATTGAAAAAGATTTATTTGAAAACGCTTTCTCTGTTTTTAATTTCAAAGGCGGGCTGTATGTTTTATTCCAGCAAACATTCGACCTACGAGCTCAAAAACTAAATATACAAGATAATCGGTCGATCGGGACGATAAACATAAAGCGTTGCGTTATGCGTGTTGATTTACATTACTACTTATCTTGACCTTCAATGGTCACGGCTCCTACATTTGTTTCGGATGAAACTATTTATTTACACTGTGAACTGAGCAAATATTTTATAGAAATGCGTTTATAAATGCTATTTATTTTGCCTTCATCCAAGTCGGTAAATTAATGATCATTTATTGTAGCGAATTCTCGTTAGACCTTCGCACATTTCAACATACGATCTGAGCATTGCTTCGGCTGTTTGTAATCTTGTAATGCGTGGCGATCAATCTACTTTTTATTCAGAACGGCTTATTTAAATGACAAAACTGGCCGAACTTCCTTCAAAACTCCATTGGAATTGGTCTTTTTTTCGTCTTTTGTTATTTTTTCTACGATCTACGTATACATCTACATTGATTATTTTCTTAAGAAGTTTAATTTAGTAAATACAACTGTTGATCAGTAATAAT